TAGACATGCACTCTTTCTAACACCGTTGGAATTTTCGGATTCCGATGTTCCAGTGAGGAGTTATCATGCCCGCCATCAAAAATAAGGACTTTTCTTTAATTACAAAAAACAACAACAAAACAGTAACAAAAATTTTTTGTAAATTATTTTTCTTCTCTTTTAAATCTTCAAATATATATGTGCAAAGTTACAAACCTCAACAAGCATTGGTATTGATTTACCAGCCCATTGAAAATCTTGAAAAAATAAAATCGTGAATGGGGGGGGGGGGTTCCCTTAAAGGAATAAACTTTAATTTACGAAAGAAAACTTCTAATTTATTTTGTTGAAAAGTGTTTGTCGCCATATCACAATATTACCACCAATTCGTATTGCTATCGAAATTGTTCACATATTCTTGGCTTATTTGCTGAATCAGCAACAATATTGTATTACTGGCGTCCTTTTAGTCCAGTTATTTGCCAATTCCTTTCGAAATCTTTCCTACCGGCCATTACAGATAGACATCATTTCCATTATAATTAGAGTAGTAAAGACACGAGAATTACATCATCCATTTTTAACTGGATTCCCATTTTACTGAAGTTCATTCATATAGTCCACATGTCACATCCACAGTGACTGTATGCCGTCACGAAGTGTGAGTAAATTTTTGGAAAGTTATTTCGTTGTGAAATTGACTTTTAAGATTTTTTCCAATATGTTATTTTCAGTTAACGAGACTTGCTGTACATGTAAAGTGGATTGAAGTCATGGCATTCGCATGTAATTTTTGTTTTATCGCTTCATAGACTTAACACAGCGCGAAATGGAAAGTGGTAGGGTGAGAAAACATATTTATTGTCCTCTTCTACTTCTTCTTTAATTCACGTGTGACACATGAAAGACACATTCGTTAAAGACAGTTGTTGTCAAACTCTCGTACCGGCGAGAAGTGTATATTTTTATTGCAAAATAATAAAGCAATGGGTATATTAAGAAAGACGTAACGGCATGCCAATTGACAATTATCAAGCAAAAATAAATTTATTGATTGCAATTTGTAACACAATTCATGTGTACGCTGTTTTATGATTTCACCAAAAATAAAAATAAATAATATTAAAGGAATATCGTGATGTCTATATTCTTAACTTCTTTTTCTCCACAGGGGAAAAAGTTAAGAAATTTGCATTTACTAAAGCCTGAAAGCAGAAACCTAGTAATTTTTATTTGTCAATGTTACAAATCGATCCAGTGTCAATCGCAGTGCAGGCAAGACAACTCTGACAATAATCGACGATTCTAGTCACGCTCCATGTCAGAAATACCAGCAACACGGTTATAGTGCTGATAAAAAAACGCATGCACAAGGTAAAATGAAGGTGTTACGAAAGCAATAGCATGCGCTTCCAACACCGGTATCTCGGCGGCTAATAACAACTGTGAAAGAAAACAAGTGAAAAATTAAACAACATTTGTTAGCACGGAATGGCATACGAATCAACCACACCTTCCGTTTCCTTCGACAATGAGTACCTTACGAGACTAGCACTCACACTATGCCACAGTGTTGCATTTCTTTGTTAGCATTCATTCGTTCCCCGTTCTCTGTGCCACGACATATTTACCATTTCAGGCATGCAAGTGTATTAGCCGCCTACAATCACCACTACAACTGCTGCTACCACCAACACAGTTATAACTTTGTCTGCACCAAGGCAAACAACAAAAGCAATAGAGCTGATACAACAACAACAAAACAATGGCAACCAGCCCCTACGATCTGCAACTGGATGCCTCCCCATCACTCGTTTAATCTGAAACAGATGCAGCAAAAGGCAATCGAGTTGTACTCATTCGGAAGCCACAGTCTGTGTTCTATAATATTTTATGTTGTTGCATCTCCTTTTTATGTTGTTGCCTGCTGTTGTTGTTGTTGTTTTAGTTGTTTTCGCTGAAGCCCATGTTTGCCATGTTGCCCTCCGTTGGTATATTAAAATGGCAACATTTATAAAACTGAACAACATTAAACGATGACATGAAGTTTATGCTCCCAACAGCAACAGGGCCAACAACATTTAGGGAGTGACTATGAAGTTGAGAAAAATAAACCTTATAGACTTCTTTTTTGCTAGCACAGCATATTGTGATCACTCGGTTGGAGTACAAAATAAAAAAAACGAGAAACCAAAACAATTGGAATTCTTTGAAAACTATTTGTGGAAAGAATACAAAACAAGGAAAACAACAATAATAAATAAGAAACATGTCGGCATCTTCAACAAGGCTGGATCATTTAAAGTCATATATATATATATATATATATATATATATTCCCATCTGGGATAAAAAAAAAATTACAAACTGGCAATTTGAAATTAATAAATTCTACCAACAAAATGGAGATTCATACCCAACATAATACTGTAAATTTTTTCGTAACCATTATCAACAGAATACTCTTTAAATGATGTGCAGAGTATTCTTTTCTCTTGGCTTCAGAATGAATCAATCCTCTATAATAGTAATAATATATCTCTCATGTTTTGGTTACTATTCATAATATCGTTTCTTAATAGACAGATGTATCTACTATTACAATTTTTACCAGGTATCCAAAATAAGCGATTGGTTTCTATAAATGAACCCGAAGAACTAACAAACTATATTTCTTGCTTTCTTTCGTCATGTAACTTCAATTGTATCGCTTGGGAGCTTGGTGATAAATCTATGATGAAAACAATTTCTATAACCTTCGATTTATGTTAACTTTTGATGTAGGTCTACGCATTTAATAATAGCTAAAAAAATGATTCAATAAAACTCACTTCTCTATTTACAAAATAATAATATATTCAATTGGTTTCATACATATATTAAAGTTAAAAATACCAATGGGTTTATATGTATTTTTTCTTTTCAAATGATTATAGATTGTATCCCTATAACACATAACCAACTAACAGAATAAATGAAAAAAAAACTATTTCAATTTGCTGCTCCCCAGAGAGTGAATGAAATCATTATTAATTGCCCAGATTAGTGAACAAACAGCAGCCAACCTCTACATACAAACATTTGATGTGTGTGTGTTTTTTTTTTCATTTTTTTAACTGCCTCGTGCCGTGGCATATGTTTAATGTGGTGCACTTTTACAGTGCAACAATATGAAATTTTATGCAAAAATATCATGAGAATGCGTTTTTTTCTATATAAAGTAAAATGCATATGTGTAATCTATAAAGTAACGCACACACACACACATACGTACTTACAGTTATGCCTTATCAACTTGTGGGGTTTAAGTCCAACGGTGGCTGGATCAGAAACTTTACTCTTGACTGCATAACATTTTCCAGCTTATAGGCATTAAAGTTTTTTGTTTTGTTTGCTGTAATTTTTTCTGTCCAAATTTGAACTGTAGCTAGTAGGTGTAGTATTGCCAACCAGCCATCCGTGAATCGCCAAGCAGAGGTATTTTTCAGTGGCATTGATGGTTAGGTTGCCTTCGACACCAGCTTTACGTAAGTCGTAATCACAGCCAACGGTCATTTGGCCATACCGGTAACTGAATGACCAGGCAGGTCGTGACTCATTGGAATGTCAAAAATAACACTAAAAGCTCATGTGTAGTGGGTGTATATTTTTGTACGTATGTATAAATGTGTGCCTGTGGCCTAGAGTGCTATGGACCATTGTTTATTCCCCAATATCTTTTTCGTTTTATTAACAGTTTTATTTAAAATTTATAACTGTGCTCATATATCAACTTTATTAAATCGAAGTTTAAAATTTTAAATTGGGTTTGGTGTTTATCGAACACCGAACCATCTGTGTGAAATATTGACATCGTTAAATGCAAAACGATGATGAATGTCAATATCTTTTAATTGCCATTTTTTAAAATACCTATTACGTATATATAAATGTTATCATTTTTATTTGCAAATCATTGCTCATCATAGATATCTCATTCTCATTCCCTCAATTCTCTGTAACTTAAAAAAATAAGTATATTTAAAATTAGCACATATTTTGCAATATTACCATATTTCATAGATCTTTGAATTATCCGAATTTACGCAAATATTAAACAAATACATAGCAGGGCATGATAATCACAACACAAAATGTCATGTAAACTAAAATGACAAACGTCCTCCCTGTTAAACAAAAACAAACCATTGTTTGCATTTCCTTCATTTTCATCTTCTACTTATAGGAAACAAAATCTGACATAGTTTATCATAACAAAAAAAAAAACACCAAATAGTTTGCGACATGACTACAGGACATGCCGAAAAAGAAATTGACTGTTTTGCATCAACTCTCTCTCTCTCTCGAAAACGAACACTTAATCTGTTACAATATTCATACCTTTTTCGACTTTGGCGAAAAATGGAATGTGAATTTAAAGCAGGATAAAGAAACTAACTTCGCCATCGTCTCTATCGTCAAACCAAAACAAAAAAAGACGAAGAAAAAAACTAGTATTTAGAGGTTGTGGCAAAAACTTGCTATGACAATCCAGTCCTTTTGTTTGTCTTTCACTTTTATCAGCTTGCTTTTTTCCTCCAGAATTTGGTTTAGTTTTCGTATTGGTGTACGCAAAAACACACACACTTACTCACTCACCAATACATGTGCAGCTGTCGGAGCAGGAAAAAAACTCATCACAAGCAAAAGTTTTCCCATTAAAATGTCGGTTTATATAAGCATTTTCTAAGAAAATAACAGACATAAAAAAGACTTTGGATGAATTGTTATGAAGGACGACACAATAACAACTATACAAACAACTGTCCATGTACACTTGTGTATGTGCGCGCATTTTATTACTATTTTCTCTGTGTCGGTCGGTAGAACATTTGCGGTTAGACAGAAGCTTGACCAAATAAAACATAATTCACAAGGACATCTTCGGACTTGCATTGGATATTTGTTACGCTTGTTCCCCTTTGTTTGTTTTTAATTAAGACACTAATTTATATGTTTTTTTACGTTTATTGTTTTTGCAGGATTATGCCGCTCAAATAGACTTCACCCAACCCATGCCAATGGCTCATTTGCAGCCGGTGTCACAGGCCTCAATGATAAGCGGTACTATATTGGCGGCACCTCCATCCATGGGCAATGGCGGAAGTGGCACCTTGAGGCGTGGCATTTTGAAGGGAGTCTCACATGTGCCACCGCCAGATGTCACCCATCACACCAACACCAACATGGGCAGTGTGCATATGATGCACGATTTGCATCCACTTAATATATCATCTACCTCGTCAACGATGACAACAACATCGAGTGTGGGCAATGGAAGTCTGATGTCAGTGCCCAGTTCTACGCCTAAACAACCACAAAGCATACTGAAAGACCCCAATCGAAACAAACAACAACATCAGCTACAACAACAGTCTTCGCTAATGGGCACAGGCATGATGGCTGTTCCCGGACCTCCTGGCAGCCTGCAAGTGCTCAACATACCCAGTTCGGTTGGGATTAGTAATAACCTGTTAATGACCGCCAGTGCGGCTTATGATCCTGCAAATCCCCATAGTCTGACCACATTCAATGCCGGCGGTGCTACAGTTGCATTTACGGATGCCGATGGTCATCTTGTATAGCTGTAGGATGCCTCACATGGGGCAATGCTGGCCGTTATAACGGACCCAGAAACAACAAACACAACAACACCACCACTACCACAGACAACCCGCTACTAAATATGAGACATGAATTTCTTTATCTTCTTCTTCTTAACCTTCGGATAGGTATAAGTCAAAACTAGGCTTAAGGACATACAACAATACTTTTAGCGAACATCTATTTAGTCACACATACACAGGCATCGACCACGATGTTTACAAATAGAGTACGAGTTTGTATGTGTGACCGTTACGATATTTATGACAAATACCAAAAAAAAACGAAAAACAAAAACAAACAAACAATAAAAATCTTCGTCGTCAATCCTCTAATTAATTCAAAGACAACAAACACTGAGGTGGTAAAAACAGAATTTGATCCCAACTAAAGAAAGACAAAGCCAAACATGACAAATACAAAACTAAATAAATAAAAATAAAAAATAACAAACACAAATACAGAACTGAATTAACAACGAATGACACCTCGAAAACAAAAATTTAATTGTTGGCCTATCCATTTCCGCCATCGATCGCGACATTCATTATTCCCTTGTCCAAAATGTGTCATTCATAATCTTTTGTTAAATTTCAAGACTGGTTTTCTAATAAAATAACAGATACATTTTCTGTTATAATATTTGTAAATTCTTCGTCGAATAAATAAAAGATTCAAAATCAACACTTATTAAGAAAATCATAATCGTTTGATCTATAAATTTTCAAGAAAATTCACCTACGATTTTACAACACATTTTAAAGTATACCAATTTAATGGACACTAGGAACAATGTTTCGCATTGTGAAATGGAACTGTTTTGGTCACGAAGAAAGCCAACTCCACTACGACAAAGATATTTCTATCGGACAGACTATATTTCTGCTCCATTACAATTATTACTTATTTAATTTATTTACATATTTTTTTATTTGCATTTTTACTTAACTATTGACCAATTATTATTCTAGTCTCTGGAAGCGACATTAGTAAAATATTTAATTTAATAGATTTTAATATTATTCAAACCTAAATATTTATATATACATATTAACTTCAAGTAATTTATTTTGATCTTTAATCGTTCAGATTCACTTTAGTATTAATTACTTCCTAAGAAGGAGCAGGATTTTTGAAAAGCAAATGAATCTTGATGTAGTCTTCCATAATAAAATTTCAAATTTTTAAATAATAATTTCTTGTTTTAATTTTAAGTTTAAACACTTTTGAGTTACAAAATATACGAAATGAACGAATGAATGAATGAATAAATAAATAAGAGAAGGTTGATTGTTAATAGCCACAAAATATTGGCATTGCCTTTGGCCAAACAAATAATTGCTAGATTAGTATCAATTAATAACTGAATAATTAGAACAAAGATCGATAAACAAAGCTACAAATAATATTAAATTAAAAAAGAAAAAGAAAACATAAAACAATACAAATAAAAATACAAAACTAACCAACGTAAATTAAGTATAACCAAAGAATAATTCAGTATAAGTTCTTTTGTCAATGTGTTTCTGAAATGCAATGTAAATTGTTATAGGCTATTTGTTTTTAATGTTCTCTATCTCAATAGTGTAAAGGTAAATAAGTTTTCATAGAAACGTTATATGTAAGTAATTAATTAAGTTATGTAATTATAAGTATTATGAATTTTCGGTATTTTGTCCATTAAAATTTTTTTCAAAAACTTTATCATGATGTACTCAACAAATTGTGTTTTATTTATTAAATAGTACGATCCAATATGTTGGATACCTACTATGGAGAAATGTGAAATAGAAAAATACATTTTGGTATTGGCATTGATATCCCATAAAATTAAGATTTATTCAATATCGATTTTAAGGATTTGAATTCTTGAAAGTTTTGCATTTTCTTTGGATAATATAGTACTAAATTTACCTTAACTATATAAATAGGGCAATATGACATAATTCATCTGAAAACGGCTGAAGCTAGAAACTTGAAATTTTGAGTGTGGGTTATTGTTGATGTGTAGGCGTGAGATAAGGCTGGATTTTTGGAAATTCGAAGTAGAAGAGTACAAAGAGTACTAAAATGTACCATTTTGTATTAAGCGAACGGGAGGAGCGAGAACCCCTCATCCTTCTAGAAATTTGGAATGTGGATCACGGATAGAAAGTTCGAAAGATGTACAAAGGGATTTTTGGATATTCGACCTATAAGTGTACGAAAAGTATTAAACTTTACTAAATGTAGTTTTAATTGCATATATATATTGAACATATATAACTAGAATCTTGAAACTTTATATGCAATACAGGTTGGGAAGTATTGTTGATGTATGGAAATGGCTTACGAAATTCGTAATTATGTCTATGAAAAGTACTAAATGGTACTACATTTGGTAATATTTGTATTTAGTTGAGCACATAGGAATGGAATCCTGTAAATAGGAATTAGGACTACTATTGGGGTACATGATTGAGGTAGTTTTTAAAATAGTACTTATGTGTATATTCTTGTAATAATAATTTAAAATATAATGTTTTTAGAAAATGGATAGAAAAAGTATTTTCGGGGTAGATTAGGCATTTTAAAGTGGGGCACATTCGGCCATATTATTATTATTTCCTTAAAATGTTTTTAATTTTGTCTTCAAAACTAATCCTTTAACATTAAATTACATATATAAAATCAAAAGGTTTTATATTGACCAAAATGCTATTTCTGATGGTGCGTGTGACCTTGAGACGTCAACGTCTGCCTCTAGGAAATACAGCCTTATAAGTCAAACATTGAGTCGCATATTAAAACAAAATATAACCTTTAGAGTATCTCAATTTCAACAAGACTCATAGCGGGGATAATTACCAGGCTATGACTAAGATTCTAGTTCGCCAATTAAAACTATAAAAAAATGGGTTGAGGCGAAAAAGCTAAGAAAAAGAAAAACAAACCCCATTAATGTTGACGACCCCCGCAAACGTATAAAGGACCACGATCTGCGAATCTGCACTTGGAATGTGAGCACGTTGTACAGAACATGTGTCGTTTTCGCTTTGGCGGATGTACTCAAGAAGAACAAAGCCGATATTATTGCCTTACAGGAAATGCGAGGGAAAGGGACGACTACGCACTGTATTATAGCTGCCATGAAACGAGACATGAATTTGGCTGCGGATTTATGTTTAACTGGTGAATAAAAGACATCGTCTTCAGATTCACTCAGGTAGATGAGCGAATTGTTCGAAAGCGAAGTTCTTCTACATCAGTCTCATTAGCGCCCATGCTCCGACCGAAGTCAAAGATAAGCAGACCAAAGACATATTTTACGAGGGTCTAGAAACAGTATATGACCGCTGACATTAAAATTCTGCTAGGAGATTTTAATGCGAAAATCGGAAGGGAAACTATTTTTGGTCCCACCGTCGGAAAATTCAGCCTCCATGAAGAAACATCCGACAACGACTTCGCCGCAGCAAAAAACATGGTTATCAGCACCAGGTTCAATCATATCGATATACACAAGGTCACCTGGAGAAATCAAACTGATCATGTTGTGATAGACGGAAGACATCCAGTGTATTAGACGTTCGATCGATCCGATGAGCGAATATCGATTCGGACCACTACCTCGTGGCAGCCAAGGTTCGCTCTCGTCTTAATGTAGCAGCAAAGGTGCGATCTAACACAACACGGAAACTCGACGTCGACACAACAGATAGCAGAAGCCTACTCTGCTCAACTGATTCGACGAAAACACTTCTTGTCCCGATAATAGTATAGAAAGAAAAGAATTGCCCACTCCCTACAAACTGCAGCAAAAGCAACACTTGGATACCAAAAACAACCATCAAGAACCCATGGTATGATCAGAAGTGCAACCCTGAAGACAGTAGCAACACGTAGTGCGATGGAGAATTATCGGGAGAAATGGAAAAAGGAGAAACGTATTTTCAGAAAAAAGAAGAAAGGACAAAAAACGTGAGCGTGAACAAATCGTTGATGATAAAACTCTATGGGTCACCAAATGACCTTTAACGTAATAGCAGGGTTAAGGGAACATTCTCGGTTTAAAAAAAAAACTGAACTTTTTTAATTCAAAAAGTCATCAAGTCAAAAATTACAAAATTCCATAAAAAAATTTAAAAACATTTTTGCGAGCACATTCATAATTTTTGGTACATAGATTAAGGAAAATATGCCGCTTCGATATCTGTTTGCGTTCACAAATTCGGATGCTGCGCACAAAAATTATAGCGGGTTTAAATCTCGCATTTCAAATATAAATTAAATGAATTCCTATTTGTTGTAATTCGCGAATTTCTTGACAAATGGTTAAACACATTTGTTTTCTTTGCATACTACTCAAAACAAATAAAAGCATGAAAATATCTGAAAATAAAATAAATTAATTTTTGAATTGCCAGAAAGTGTCTTTTTTTTTTTTTTTTTTTTTTTTTTTGAATTTTTGATTTTTTAGTATGGTCAAGGCAATACGGTTTTGTCTAGATCTTCTAAAACATGTGACGATTTCTTCTACAAATTCTTTTAGATGATTGTTAAATATCGGTACATTCATCTGTTAAGAGTTTTGACTTTAAAAATGACCAAATATAATGCAGTTACAGCATATGAAAATGACCAATATTAAAAAGCATACAGTTCGCGTATTCGTTGAAATCAGTTGATGCGCATGCGGTTTTCGTATAAACCGAATCAATCTCTTCCAATAATTATGAATTTTTCGAGGTTTCATTTAGCCAAAGTGGCTAAAAATGACGCAACGTGCACATCAGATTTCAGTAATCTCCTATGAAAATACACAAAAGTACATCTATTTTAAAAGGATTGGTTAAGAAACGCAGATGTGCCGCCGCAATCAATTTTGGATAAAATACGCATTTTATTCGAGTATCGATGTATTGTTGACCTATTTTCACACAAATTCGCGAATACGAGAATACAAGCATGAATGTATGTGAAATCAATTCGAAGAAAAACGCGATTATATACGCGAATTTGTCAAAATAAAATTTTGCAGTTTTTCCCACATTCAAGGTACTTTAATCGCCGTTTTATTGAGCGGAATTGAACACGGCTGGGCTCATTAGAACCGGCACGTAAAAAAAAACTAAAATCACGCGGAGTTCCACGGTATTTGATTGGACTTTCTTAAATTTAAACTCAAAAAAAGGTTTTTTATAAAAATGTAAGCACCAA